GTCCAGTTTATTGTCCATGTACACCCCAAGTACTTGTAGTCCTCCACAATGTCCACACTGACGCCTTGAATGGAAACAGGGTCACTGGTGCATTTTTCCTCCTTAGATCCACAACCAGGACCAGGTCCAGGGCCTTCAGCCGCTCTGCCCCCCACCTCTGGAGCTCCCTCCCACCACAAATCCGTAATATCGACTCTCTCTCCATTTTCAAATCTCATCTCAAAACACATCTTTTTAAACTGGCATATTCAGTCTGATCATTCTCCACCCGTTCTCATAACTCCTTACATCCTGTACATTTGTGTTTTTAATGTTAATTTTATTGTTGTGTTGTTACTTTGTTGTTTTTATCTCTGCTCTGTAAGGTGACCTTGAGAGTTTTGAAAGACGCCTTTAAATAAAATGTATTATTATTATTATTACTAACCAGTTCCTTGGTCTTTGTCACGTTGAGCAGGAGATGGTTCTGCTCACACCATATGAAAAAGTCACCCACCACAGCCCTGTACTCAGCCTCCTCACCCTCACTGATACATCCAACTACAGCCGAGTCGCCAGAGAACTTCTGAAGGTGGCAGGACTCTGTGTTGTAGTTGAAGTCTGTGGTCTAAAGAAGAAGAAGGGGGACAGAACCGTCCCCTGTGGGACCCCAGTGTTGGTGACCACTCTGTCTGACTCACAGTGTGTAAGGCGTGCATACTGTGGTCTGCCAGTCAGGTAGTCCACAATCCAGGACACGAGGGGAGCATCCACCTGCATTGTTGTCATCTTCTCACCCAGTAGAGCCGGACGGATGGTGTCAAAAGCACTGGAGAAGCACTCTCACCTGTCTGTCCAGGTGAGAGTAGAAGCGGTTTCTAATAGGTGATGACATCAACTGGAGGAGGCGTGGCCAAACAGCAGTTTGTTTTGGTTTCATGCTGGTGCTTAACGGCGACATCTACTGGATCAAAAAGTTGCACATTCTTCCTTTAACAAAATACATTTATAGTTTAAACAAGGAAAAAAAATCTAACAGAATGAGTTTGTAAGTCGTAAAATAAACACACACTCAGGTGAGTAACCTGTACTGAACCTTTGTATTTTTCTGGCGTACCAACAAGGGTTTTAGTTTTTAGTTTATTTTAATCAATGATGTAGAGAAACAAATGAAAACTTTGCTTTGTTTACAAGAAAAATCTAATTTTGAGTTTTAACAACGAGAAAAAAAAGTAACAATTTTGAGATTAAAAAGGCATAATTATTTCATAAAAAGTCATAATTATGAGATTTGACTCAATGTGAATGTAAACTCCACCAGTGTAACGTCAGATGACGTCACAGAGACAGCTGCAGATTTTTTACTTTTGCTTTTGACGCCTCTATTTTGAAGAAGTGCGCAGTTTTCTCTGCGTCATAAACACTTTGGAGAAGCAGAAAGTGAGCTGTGAGTGAAGAAGAGTTCGGTCGTTTTGAAAGTTTACATTTGTTTTGAACTTTAGTCACCATGGGCCAACAAGTCTGACAGAAGCCTATCAGCGTGTCGACGGTCAAACAGCATGGAGCCGAACAGCCGGTGAGATCCTTTACAATAATCATGACATTATTTATTTAGGCCTATCACATTTAAAAACACATGTTTTCAAGTGTTTTGAAGACAAAGGCAGGAAGTCAGGAATATGACAGAGCAGCAACAGTCAGACAAAACAGAGAAGAGAACAAATAAAGAGAATTAAAGGATCATTTTAGAATAGAGATACATGAGAAAGAGATAAAAGCGGGACATGAGTTCAGGTTGTTTTAGATTCTCACTTGAAATTTGACAAACTTGATAAGTCGTGCAAAACTGGGCGAGGCCAGCCACACACCCGTTAGTTCAGACCAAGGCAGTCATTTTGACTGTTTTTTAATTTTGCAATGTAATAACTTAAAATAAAACCTATGTAACTACAGGACCATGACTTTTCCTAAATGTGTCTATATTTTATTCTAGCATTGTTATTTTATCAAAAACATAAAACACAAAAGAGTTTTGAGTATTTCTACCTTGAAAGTCCATAGCGGGCATATTGACTGCATGCATTATAGCCAGTGTATCATTTCAGTATTCACTACTTTTTCCCGCTCTTGAAGGTAGAGGTGGGCGATATGGGAAAAATATCATATCACCATTTTTTTTGGGCAAAATCACGATCACGATTTTTTTCATACTGATCTTTAGATAAATTTGTAAGTTACTGACCAGTTCAACCAAACTTATTTCCCTGTATAATGTTTTTTAAATGCACAAAAACTGAGCAGACAAGTTTAATCTATTTGAAAAACATCTTTGTAGGAGGTCTGGAGGTCTCTCACCCAGAACATCTTTAGCAACAGAAATGTCTTTCCCTCAATTTGATCAATATCTATGAACAATTTGAAGGTTTTCCTCACCACTTTGAAATGATGATTTAGTTATGTGTCCTCTTTTTATGTTCATCAGGAACATTTTCACACAGTGATGCATTCATTTAAAAACATGTAGACTTCAAGTTCTTGTGTTTCTGTTCTGTTTTAGCCCTGCAGAGTTCCTCCAGCTGGAGCTTCATACAGGCTCTGCAGACTTTGTTGTTTTTTATGACATCATTGGACTAACTTTAGTTTAGTTTATATATAATCAAACATAATACAGAATGTGTTCATTCTGGGACACATGATCAAAGTAAGTTTTACTGACAGAAGAGTTGAATTCATAGAGGGGGCGGGACATTGTTGATTGACAGACAGACAGTCACCATGGTTACTCACTCTCACCTGCCTGCTGCTTTGTAACGTCGTTTAGTGTAATCCCTATAGGTTCGTCTGTGTGGGGAGCATAAACTGCAGCATGATAGAATAAACACATCAGCCCGGTTCTACGATCTCTCTGCTTTGGCACTTTAAAATCCTTCACGATCTAAGATCGTTATATCACCCACCACTCCTTGAAGGTGCGCATCGCTGTTGCCTAGCAACTATTGTTTATAACGCTCAAACCAAGGAGGAAAGAAAGCTTACCCGCCTAAAACCATATAGAAAGAATAGGAGACATACTTTTGAATGAATCAACATTGAAAAGGCAGAATAGAGTAAATTAGGATCTGATTTAGAACAGAATAGAATGAAATGTCAGGAAGGAGGAGGATTGCTGCCACAGAGGCTCCAGAGCCTTGATGAGGCAGAGTCTGATGGAGGTGCAGGTTCGGATACAGAAAGTGATGTCTCCTGGTCTCTCTTCATCTGACACCGGCTCTGAGATTAAACCTGAGAATGATACAGAGATCATTCCTGTCATGATTTGGTTTCTTATTTTCACGTGACCATCTGAAATCAAATAAAAAGTGACAGAGTTCAATAGGGCTGTTGAAATGAATCATTTACTTCACTAGAAGATGAATGAATCGATGCAGGGACATGACGTAATCGATGCTGACGAGGGTTAGAAAAAGCATCTGCTAACCTCTACATGTGTTTGAGCAGCGTTGAGTGAGTTTGTTTTACCTAAACACACACGGTGGTGTGTAATGAAAGTAACGTAGGCTAACAGAGGGATTTGTGACAGAAAACAACATCAATTGAGTCCCGGTCCTGGTCTTGCTGACTTTATGAGCAGAGTCAGCTGGTCCTGCAGGCTCAGACCACAGTGCTCCGCTGCAGGCTGAAACGGCTTGACTCGGTGTCTCTTTAGCCGACCGCAGCTCGGGTTAGCATCTTCATCACAGGCAAAGGTGTGTTTAAACTGATGCCTCGCTGTCTTAAGTCCAGGATAACTAAAAGAAGGGGGCTGTGGCGGTGACTCAGGATAAAGTGAGCGGCTGTAAACACAGTAGAGTCCCGACAGTATCACCGCTAAGTGCACCTCCGCTAAAGATGAGAAACACTTTCTACTTCCGACAAGTTCTTCACAATAAAAGTCCCCTGCTTATCTGTAGTTGTAGTGCTTTTAATGTGAAACCTTCATATCAGGAAATGGGGTGTTTACAACAGTAGCAACTTAACACAACTCGTGTGAAATAAAAAGAAACAAAAGTAACCCTGAACAAAGCTCACAGCTGAAGACTACAACGTCCTGAGAAGAGAACACACAGAGACTTCAAAACATAATACTGTCATCTAATAAACTAAACTTATTACCTATACTGTAGGCTACCTCTATAATGTATTCATTTGAACTTACAATGTAAAGAGATTGATAATGACATTGTTGTCTGAAGCACTTTTTACATTTTACAAAAGGAGTTCATATTTACAAGACTGTTTGTCTCTATTTATGAAAAAGTAGACATGTGCAGGAATATAGAAAATTGAGGATGAATCGTGATGCATCGTGATATGGAATCGTTGACTGGATAATCGTAATGGAATCGTAAGACCAGTGAAGATGCACAGCTCTAGAGTTCAAGGTTTTTAAAAGTCCAGTAAAACAGAGGCTGGAACTGAAGCAAGACAGTGAACTTTGACCGCTTCCTCTTATAATCCTCATTTTACTGTTTGACAATAATAAACCAGATTCTGGACAACAGGTGAATTTGGGGCGCTGGTGGCCTAGTGGACTAGGCCTAAGTCAGGGGTAAAGTACTTCCTGCATTGCCTTACTACAGCTATGGACCTGCTCCATTAAAGAGGTCGTTAACGCTGACAGCCCTATACGCCTAAACACTAACAACACTTCAGCATCGAGATTCATACTCACACTCCAAGCTCTTTGTTTTATGTTGAAGCCCACAGAAACGGCCCATCCCCCTGGATCTGTGCCTGCACCAGGCATTAAGTTCATTAAAGGTGACGGGTCGACGGATGGCCGTGTTGAAGTTTTAGGACAACAGTTCTCAAATTCACTGAGGTGAGATATTCATTTGATCTAAATTCCACTAAATGTAAAATAACCAGATCATTAAACTTTGGTGTTTTCATCTCTGCTCCTTTTTCCTGAGACATGAGAATATTAACATCCTGGTCTTCCTCTGTGTTTAACAGCAAGAAAAGACAACCAACTGCTGGACCTGGACCTGGACCTGGACCTGGACCTGGACCTGGACCTGGACCCAGCTGTCAGTCTGCAATGAGCGACATGTCAGCTGGGCGCTTAATTGATTTTAAAGCACAACCAGCTTCTCTTCCACATGGGTAAGCTGTTTATGACATAATATATAAAACTCAAAGATTATGAATTAATTTTCATGGAGAGTATATTTATATCCTGCTTGTTTCTTTACTTCCTACATTTATTCTGAAACTACAAGTCTCTGAATCACATGGCCACCTTAAAGGAGCGATATGTAAGATTACATATTACAACAATGCAGCAGCCAGTATGTCCTCCTTCTAACTTTAGATTCTGCTCCTGAATGCTCTGGATTTGTTTGGACCAGAGAAGGTAGGCGCTTTTAAGGCGACCCCCACATGGCCGTTTTGGACACCCCTCGGTTTGCCAGATATGAGAGCAGTTATCAGGTCAAACCAACAGGTGTTGCAGTGTTAAACAGCTGTTAAAGAGGGCCTAAAGAAACACTCTTTGCAAAAACACTTGTTTATTAGAAGCACTTATCAGAGTTCTGACTTGAATCTTAACTAAATTGTAATTTAGTCATTTTACAGCACATTTACGTTGTGTTCTTCACTGCTTGGAGCTTATTCTACATGATCCCTCCACAGACCAAACCAAGAGAGCTCCAACGTTTCCAGTAACCAGGATGTCCAGCAGCTCAACAAAGTGTTTCAGGTCTGTACATGTGCAACAGTTGTTTTCACATCTGATCTGTTCACAACAATTACCATGCTGCACTTTCAGACCAATGAAATTCACCATGTATCAAACATAGATCTGATATTTGGTTTTAAGCTTTAGTTTGATTTAATTATCTGTTCCAGGTTCTCCGGCAGGACATCATCAACTTTGTGGAAGAGGAGCTCAATAAGTTTCAGGAGGATCTGCGTCACCCAGAAATGTTTGAGAGTCCGAGGGTGTCGAGGATGAAGGGATCAACAGAGAGGCATTTCGAGAGATCACAGTGGACTTCCTGAGGAGAATGAATGAGGATGTGCTGGCCGACCTGCTGCAGAGGAGTAAGAGGATTTCTGAAAAGATTTTACATGCTGGATTAATGATGTTTAGAGGTATAGGGAGAAGTGTTTCCTGCAGGAAATTCACCAGGAGGATTTCAATCAATTTGTTTTTTGTTTCTGAAACTGTAGTTAAGGCTGAGGGTGCATGTTGGTAAGGCGTCCGCCTCGACTGTAAAGTGCCACGGGAAACGCTGGTATGAAACGTGTCACATGCCATTTTCAGATTGGGTTTCCACCAAAGAGCCGTAACTTAGCTCAACTGTCATCCGTCTTTGTGTGTTCATATTGATTCTGTGACGGCGTGATATTGGTGGCCCAGTCTTTGAACTGTGATTTCACATTCACACCACTGTTAGTACCTGTGAAGACGGTACAGAGGGGGGGTCACTTCGGCAACATTCAGATTGAAGGTGAAGTGTCACAAGGACGTAAACATCGGTCTTGAAATGGCGATCTGAACAGGGTTGATGTTTGCTTTCTTCTGAAGAGTCTAACTGTCATATTCTTTATGAATAACTTATTGGTCTTATTTGTTGTTTCTTCATTCAGGTAGCCCTTCTTCAGTTTGCAAACAGAAACTCAAATCTAACCTGAAGGAGAAGTTCCAGTGTGTGTTTGAGGGGATTGCTAAAGCAGGAAACCCAACCCTTCTGAAGCAGATCTACACAGAGCTCTACATCACAGAGGGAGGGACTGGAGAGGTCAATGATGAACACGAGGTCAGACAGATTGAAACAGCATCCAGGAAACCAGACAGACCAGAAACAACCATCAGACAAGAAGACATCTTTAAAGCCTCACCTGGAAGAGGTGAACCAATCAGAAGAGTGATGACAAAGGGAGTGGCTGGCATCGGGAAAACAGTCTTAACACAGAAGTTCACTCTGGACTGGGCTGAAGACAAAGCCAACCAGGACATACAGTTCACATTTCCATTCACTTTCAGAGAGCTGAATGTGCTGAAAGAGAAAAAGTTCAGCTTGGTGGAACTTGTTCATCACTTCTTTCCTGAAACCAAAAAAGCAGGAATCTGCAGGTTTGAAGAGTTCCAGGTTGTGTTCATCTTTGACGGTCTGGATGCGTGTCGACTTCCTCTGGACTTCCACAACACAAAAATCCTGACTGACGTTACCAAGTCCACCTCAGTGGATGTGCTGCTGACAAACGTCATCAGGGGGAACCTGCTTCCCTCTGCTCGCCTCTGGATAACCACACGACCTGCAGTAGCCAATCAGATCCCTTCAGGGTGTGTTGACATGGTGACAGAGGTCAGAGGGTTCACTGACCCACAAAAGGAAGAGTACTTCAGGAAGAGGTCCAGCGATGAGGATCAGGCCAACACAATCATCTCCCACATCAAGACATCCAGAAGCCTCCACATCATGTGCCACATCCCAGTCTTCTGCTGGATCACTGCTACAGTTCTGGAGGATGTGCTAAAGACCAGAGAGGGAGTAGGGCTGCCCAAGACTGAGATGTACATCCACTTCCTGGTGGTTCAGTCCAAACTGAAGAACATCAAGTATGATGGAGGAGCTGAGACAGATCCACCCTGGAGTCCAGAGAGCAGGAAGATGATTGAGTCTCTGGGAAAACTGGCTTTTGAGCAGCTGCAGAAAGGAAACCTGATCTTCTATGACTCAGACCTGACAGAGTGTGGCATCGATATCAGAGCAGCCTCAGTGTACTCAGGAGTGTTCACACAGATCTTTAAAGAGGAGAGAGGACTGTACCAGGACAAGGTGTTCTGCTTCATCCATCTGAGTGTTCAGGAGTTTCTGGCTGCTCTTCATGTCCATCTGACCTTCATCAACTCTGGAGTCAATCTGATGTCAGAAGAGTTTTTGACCTCCCAGGAGTGTGACACAGGAAATGGAGAAACTTCAATGACACACTTCTACCAGAGTGCTGTTGACAAGTCCTTACAGAGTCCGAATGGACACCTGGACTTGTTCCTCCGCTTCCTCCTGGGCCTTTCAATGCCAACCAGTCAGACTCTCTTGCGAGGCCTTCTGACATCGACAGGAGGTTCACAGACCAATCAGGAAACAGTCGAGTACATCAAGAGGAAGATCAGTAAGAATCTGTCTGCAGAGAAAAGCATCAATCTGTTCCACTGTCTGAATGAACTGAATGATCGTTCTCTAGTGGAGCAGGTCCAACAGTCCCTGAGATCAGGACGTCTCTCCACAGATAAACTGTCTCCTGCTCAGTGGTCAGCTCTGGTCTTCATCTTACTGTCATCAGAAAAAGATCTGACCGTGTTTGACCTGAAGAAATACTCTGCTTCAGAGGAGGCTCTTCTGAGGCTGCTGCCTGTGATCAAAGTCTCCCAGAAAGTTCTGTAAGTTTATTCATCTATAAATGATCTGCTATTTTCAACAGAAAACAAACTAGTCTACCACTTGTGAAAAAAACTCTGCCAGCATTAACGCGTTAATCCTGTTGCGATTATGAATGTTTCATTTCACTTTAACAAACTCTCAGACAGCTCAGCTGACGAGTCCAAAGTAATATCCACCTTATGACATCACACATTGACCTTATGACATCAAACAGCCTGCCCGATTTATCGGCCAGTCGATAATATCGGCCAGTCGATAATATCAGCATGTCCAGTGACTATAAGTATCGGCTAATTTTATCTCCGATATGCGCCGATATTACTCGATTTCTTCACCATTCAAATAGCATTTCATTTGAGTTTCATTGTATTACACTAGCAGTTCTCTGTCACCAGCAGAGGGCGCTATATGGAATCTAAGCTTCACAGGATTAGGCTAAATCAGAATTTACAGCCATGAACAAACTGAATTTGCAGAGCAGTGGAAACATGGTTGCAGAGTGACAGCGGGTGACATGCCCACATGTAAGGATCACCTGTTTCTTATATTTGGTCATGACACTGAGTGACTCCACCTACTTCTCGCTCAGGAAGCTGCAGGCTTGAGATTTATAACATATATATTTATAACTTGTTTTCATACTGTTTTCTCCCCCAGGCTGAGTAGCTGTAACCTGACAGAGAGAAGCTGTGAGCTCTGTCCTCATCCTCGCCACAGTCCTGCAGTCTGAGAGAGCTGACCTGAACAACAACGACCTGCAGGATTCAGGAGTGCAGCTGTTGTCTACAACACTACAGAGTCCACACTGCAGACTGGAAACTCTTGGTCGACATTTATGGTCCCATTTCATTGATGGCACTTGCAGTAGTTATAGAGTCAGGATAATCTTTTCTATGGAGAGGAAATCTGATGACCTCCCACATGTGATGTTTTTGTGTCTGCAGACTGTCAGGCTGTCTGATCACAGAGAAAGGCTGCAGATCTCTGCCTCAGCTCTGACCTCAAACCCCTCCCATCTGAAGGAGCTGGACCTGAGCTACAATCATCCTGGAATCACAGGATTAACGCTGTTGACTGGTCTACAGAATTCACAATCAAAGCTGGACACTCTCAGGTATGATGAGATCTTTGTCTGTCTGGTCACACACGAGGGTAAAACACTGAACTATGAGCGTTTAGTTTTAGAAGTTATGAGTAAAAATATAAACAAACATTATTATGATTATTAGAAAGGTACAGTTCATGCATGAGCACAAAACACAGGCCGAAACATGGACAGCCTTCATTAATGAGAAATCGAGTGTTCTGGCTGTATCTAACAATAAGACTCTATGGGCCTGATTTACTAAAGGTTTGCGTGTCTTAAAACTTGTGCAAACTTGATACCACTAGCAAACAAATGTGCTGTCTGATCTGCTAACAGCGTGCAGTGGGATTGTGTCTTTATGAGCAAAACAACACACATTGTCCATTTAGTACGTTTGCCTT